TATGACAGTCTATCTTATCAAATAAAATGCAAAACATTTAAAAGGTTTAGCTTCAGGGTATTTGCCTCTTTCAACTGGTACCCTCCCCTTCTCCTGCCCTTCCCACCTGTCGGGGTCTGAGCATACAAAGGAAAGAAACCTCTGAACTGTATGCAAACTGCCTGCTTTTACCGCCATGTGAGGCCTCCCGACACACACAGGCTAGGCAGCACCAGCTGGGAGGCACGCAGAGTCCCGGAAAAGCGCCACCAGGGGCTCAAAAGGGAAGCAGAGAGCGAACCACGTGCCTGTTTCTCACTTCCGCTCAGGAGTGTGGCTATTTTAGTCCCACAGGCCTAAAAATACTTGTGAAATAATTAAGCTTCTATACAGAGCAGACTAAAATTTATTTCAAATTTACTTGTCAAATAACCCTATTACTGAACCTGCAAGATTAAATCCTTTGCCATTACTTGTCATGTTCTAATGACGAAGTCTATAAAAGTCCAATTTATGGCCGAGCATCAATTAATTCTAGAAAATGATTACAGTAAAGATTAATGAGCTTCTGAGGCTTAAATGAATGTGACTACGGTGCTGCGTTTAAGGCGCAGGGCCCATCACAGCCTCTGCACCCCGTGACGTCAGGGCAATGTCGGGGTCTCCGGTCCCACATTCCAGCCACTGGAGAACATTTCTGCCAGGTGCAGGCCTCCTCCTGGCTGAGCAAATGTCTTCTTAGATAAGCTCCAAGTTCAAGCCACACGCTTGGGATAACAGGCCTGGGTAGAAATTAAACCCACACAGCAACCAGTAGACCTAACCCAAAGTGTCTACGAGTTGCCAAGGGCTGGTCTGAGAAAACCCGGGCTGCTGTTTCAGCCTGGTCTTGGTACTGGGGGCGGGTCTGAGGCCCTGTGCCTCTTCATTCCAGCATTTAGCCCAGTTCTGTTGAATCAGAACTGCAGATGGCCCTCAGCGTTCAAGGGTGCTTAGGGGTAAACAGCATTCCCAATGATGTCATCTCTTGTTAGTTACATGTAGAAGCATCACGATGACGACAGGCAAGAAAGGAACAGCTTAGAGAATGACTGAGTCCCCCAACTCATCTTCCGCCAGGTGACCCTGGCAGTGTTTATGCCCTGGGTCACTCTACTGCAGCACTACACCGTGGTGACAGTTCCCTGGACATGGTCTGTAAGGCCTTTCTCAGCAAATCTTCCTGGTCCTCACTTTGATGACAGGTGAGCAGCCAGGGTCACAGCAGAGCCTCAGGCACACTAAGGGCAGCTACTCAGGGAAGCCACGCCCTGGAAGCCCTGGCTGGGGGACACATCCCCCTTTCTCTAAAATAACCATGTAGCCGTGACAGTGGTGGCTGTATAGGGAGAAGGGGCCACCACTACCTAACTCTTTCTTTCCTCCACCCTCTGCGCCCTCCTCCTGAGTCCAGCAAGCGTCTGCGGCCCCCTGGCCCCTCAGCCCTCCCACACAGCCATCGCCACCAAGCCTCCTCCTCCCTCCAGCCCTTCTCATTTCTTCTTCTAGCCAACAGCTGATGGGCCTGTGGGGAACACCAAGTCCTACCTCAGCGCTGAGAAGACTGCAGCCTGGCCAAGCAGACAGGAAACCAGACCAGTGGGGCAGAGAGGAGCTCAGCAGGAAGGCCAGGCAGACTATGGGCACCTCCTGGCAGCAATGACAGAGACACAGGATGTGCCCATCTCCCTGCCCTCAACTGGTCCTCCGCAAAGATGGGGAAGCAAGCTGTTGGGGGTCTAGAGTCACCCAAGCCTGCACTCAGACCTGAGTCTGTCGCTCAGCTGCATGACCATGAGAGACAATCTCACTCCGCCTCGAGTATCATCCCCTGCAACATCAGAGCGTTAACAAAAGACGTCTCCTTGCAGGACGATTCTAGAAGTAAGTAGTCCACGTGTTGTGCGTGATGGCTCAAGTCTCATCCAGAATTCCAGGCCAAGAGCAGAGAACCTGCCCTGCTTCCCCAGCGAGAAGGAAGGAGCAGGCGCCAAGGCCACCGAGGGCCCTCAGGAACTGCAAGCTGGACCCTTAGGGCACACTGCTTTTGTCCGCTCCAGGCTCTGCAGTTTCAGATTTCAGTGGCAAACAGATCAAAGTGTGGGTCCCGGGCCACAGGTGTGTCAGATTCCATCACACTGGCCAAATGATTTTCGGGAACACAGCAGGGTTTTGTTCCACAAAGTGCTTAGAAGTGACAGGCCTAAGCCAATCCACACAAACACTAGGATGACATCTGCCTACACCAAACAGGAGACCTTTTGTTTGATAAGCCACCTTCTCACAAGGAAAAACATTTATTGTCCAAAATCTGAAAAAGCCAGCAGAGAGCTAAAGAAAGTTCAATCAAAACCTTTTAGGAAAACAAAGGTGCCCTTAAGCTGTGAGCAGAGAGCCCCGAGGAGTCAGGGAGGACCCCTCCCCCAGTACAGGCCACCACCTGCCCTTTCTGCCCCTTCCAGGTAGGAGGCTACAGAAGGGGCAGAAATGCTGTGGGAGCTCAGGCTCACCCCACTGGTGGCATCTCAGGCTGGGGACAGAGCTGCACCATGGCCTCCTCTTTCTAGAAGGTATGCTGCTGCAGAGAATGGGAGTAGGATGGATGAGAGAAACTGGACACTATTTTGAGGGGAGAACAGGAAGGCGCCCTTGAGGGCCCAATCCAAGGTCTGCATGCCCCAAAGGAATGGGCAGATGACCCAATTCACAGGTGACTGATCAGGACCAAAGTGGTGACAATGGGAATGACTGGGAGAACCAGACAACTGCGCTGCCGTGGGAGAGGGACACTCTGTGCCCTGTAGGACAGCCCAGTGCCAAGCAGACGGTGAGAGCCCTTCCCACGTTCCAAGAGGAATCTGCTGAAATTAGGCACAAGTCCTGCGGACAAGCACGTGTGAGGCAAAGGGTTCGAGTTAACAGGCTCCTTTACTAATGAATTCTGCAATTTTAAGGTTCCCATCTGTGTCATACACCCATGAGGTGGAGTTCATGTGCCCTACTTCCCATCTCCTTTGGCCAAGGGCTTTCTTGCAGTGTCTTACAGCATTGGTGTCCCTTAGAGCAGGGATCCTCCAACTTTGGGGCTTGTGCTGCCAGGACACTGGGCTCTACTCTCCCAGTTTCTGACCCAACAGGCCTGGGCTGGGGCGACATGAGATAAGCATCTCTAACAAGTGCCGAGGTGACTCCCACTTTGAGAACCTCAGCCTCATAAAGAGCTGTGGGGACCCTGAGCAAGACACTCCTCAGCACTGAGGGCTCTGGGCCCCTTTCCACCACGCCTCTGACTCAGCCAGCCTCACTGGCAGTCTGGCTCTTGGGACCCTCTGCCTCAGAGCGCTGCAGCCTGTCTGGCCAGGCCACAGCTGTCTTTCACTTTCAGCCACACCCCCTTTCAGTCTCAGGCCCAGGCCACTCTTCCTGCCTCGACTGGGAAGAAGGCCAGCCCTTTTAAAGTAACCTTTTTTAGTTAAGTTAATCACACCATTAGGTATGGACTTTATTGTTTCACTTTCAAAAATAACTTTCCTTCTGAGTTCTGGGGGAAATTTTCAAGGCTCAATCCATGCAGGGTCAAAGACAAAATAGTTTCCAATATTTTAATCTGGTTTACAATTTTTATACCTCAGATACTAAACTGAAAAAAATCAAAACCAAACGCACAAATAAGGCCACAGTCTTGCCTGGGCCACCTGCATTTTAATGTACATATCTACGTTTCTGCCACCAAAAAACAACTGAAAAGTTCTCTGTATCGCTGAATTGCTCGTTTTCTCTAAGAGCAAAGGCTACAAGAAAACCAAAAACCCACTAGAGAGTTTTCTGTCCATTTTTTCCAGTCTCTGACCTCAGTTCTGACCAGTGTGGAACATTAGGGACTTAAGAAAACATTAGACCAAGGAAAACAAACCCAAGAGAATCAAAAAGCCCAATACTCTGATATAATGATTTACAATTGCATAAAAAAAGCCCTATTTAGACATGAAGAAAAGTTTCTTCATAAATCTGTCTGGATATAAGAAAAATGCAACAAAGTTGGATAAAAGACATAAAAACAAAGGTGCAGGAAGAAAGAGCAGCAATTTGTTACCACTCTTGACTACTGAAACATGTAATTAGAGGTTAGCACAACAGTAGCAACAGAGTCCTGCCAAACCTCACTCCTGCCAGAGAGGACATCCCACTTCGGGGATTTAAATACCATTTTAAAGGACCTACTGTGCGGCATGCTGCCAATGCCCACGCCCACGGCAACTCTACCCTTTAGAGCAGGAGAAGAACCACACGACTAACATGCAGCACTGGGAACGTGCTAAACAACAATAAAGTGTGGGAACGTGACCAGTAGTTCAGTGAACCGCCGGTTTCTCAAAAGCTGTGTGTGTCTGTGAACAAGAAACCCACCAATGAAATGCTTTGTAAGTCTTTTTTCTTTCTTTTTTTTTTTTTTTGCTTTTATAGAGAAGTCTCTGCAGTGTTTGGCTTTCTAAGCGGCGGGCTCACTTTCAGCATCCATCATGTGGTCAACTTCCCAAACCAGGAAGAGGAGGATGAAGATTTAAAGGGGAAAGGGGTGGCTCTGGCTGTGGGACAGCAACAGGGACTCCAGGCACTGAAGTCACTGGGAATGGGGGAATGAATGAATGCGAAGTCAAATGTGCGTCTGGAAGCAGCTGGCGTAGGAGGCCCAGCAGTTAATGAGGCACTCGGGGCCTCAAAAGGTCCGTGTTTTGAGAGCTGGAGGACAGCGGGAGGGTTTGCTTCCCTGTCCCTAACTGTGGAGCGGGGCTGGGGAGGAGGATTCTTTCCGTTTTGACTTGAGGCAGCCCAACTTGCCAGATTCGACCGGGGAACGACCTGGGGACACCCGGGGAGCCTCGGGCCCAGCCCTCCCCGGAAAAGCCGGCGGCGCCTCAGGCGGCAGGGGCGGGGCGGGGAGGGAAGGGACCCGGGGCTGGGGGCAGCGGGACCCGCCTCACCTCGCACGTCCGCGGCCAGGGCCCGCCAGGTGGGCGCGTAGCCGATGCAGTGGCCGCACCACGACGAGTAGAACTGCACGAGCCACGCGGCCGAGCTGTTGGCCGTGGCCCCGCGCACGCTGCCGCTGTCCAGCACCCACACGGCGTCCTCGCCCGGGCGGTACAGCCGCGCCGCGCCGCCGCCGCCCGGCCCCCGGCCGCCGCCGCCAGCAGAGCACGAGCAGCCGCGGCAGCCGAGCCGCGGCGGGCCGGCGCCCAGGCTCGGGCGGGCCCCGCGTCGGCCTCCCGCTGCCGCGCCGTCCGCGCCGCCGCCGCCTCCCGGGCCGCCGCCATGTTGGAAGTGTCGCCGGCGCGGTGACCTTTCACCCTGGCAACCGCCGTCGCGCGCGCCGCGCGCGCTCGGCCCGCCCCCGCAGGCAGCTCGCCCAGGCCGCCCCACGGCCCCCACACGCTGCAGGCCCCGCCCACGCGCGGCGCGCCCCCTCAGCGAGTGGGTTTTTTTTTTTTCGGTCCAAGTCTGGCCCATTCCTGAAATGCGAATTTAATGGGACAGTCTCAGACTTAATCTTTTACCCGGAATCCAGGTACGGCGTGTTTTACCTGGCCACCCACCTGGGCCTCCAGAGAGTCTGCACCCCTGACCTTGACTTTCTAATGGGAGGTTTCACTCTGAGAAAAGGTAGCAAAACACCCACGCAAAGCCAGATGTGTTGGACGTTTGAGTCCACTTTGGCTGCGAGATTCACTCATTTCTGCGCAAACCTAGGAAAAGAAATTCCATGTGACTTTTTTTTCTCAGTTGAATAAGGATACCTGGTGTCTTAGTTGCTATTCCTAATTTTTATACATGTCAAGATTTTCTCAGAACTGTGTGACCAGAACAAAAAACAACGGGAATGGATGGGAGGCACCTGGGCCAGAGACGGCTCTCCACGGGCCTGAAGCTTAGGTTCTCAGGTTCCAGACTGCCCTGCGCTCCCGGGAGGTGGTTGCCCTCTTTCCTTCCCTCCGTCACTCACATTTCCTGGGTGCCAAGCCCTGCAGACAAAGCAAGGACAAAACCAAGCCCCTCTCGGCCTCAGGTCTGCCTCTGGGGGACAGACCCTAAACACGAAAACAGTAAGGCGGCCAATACACCTACAAAAGCCACAGAGCAGGGCGGGCGCAGGTGGTGGGGAGGGGCTTTTGCACACCAGAGGGTCCGGAGGTCTCTCGGGGAAAGTGACCTGTGAGTGGAGAAGAGGTGGCCCAGGCAGAGGAACCCTACGTGCAAAGGCCCTGAGGCTGAAGGGTGCTGAGTGCTGGAGGAATGGCAGGAACTGCCTGGACAAAGGGAGCCAGACCGGGGACCTCCCCAGCCAGGCCACAGAGAACGTGGTGGTGGCCATGGAGGATTTGTGCAGGGACGCAGCTCTGCCCTCTGGTTGCCATGCAGAGGGGCAGGAGGGTACCGGGAGACCTGTGAGAGGCTGGCCCAGTCCTCCAGGAGCTGGTGAGAGGGGTCCGGCACCAACCCTGGGTGTGCTCTGAAGACAGAGCCAGGGTGGAAGCAGAGAGGGTCACCTGCAGTTGGTCACGGCTGCAGGGGAGGGGGTGGGAGAGCAATTTGGGGGTGTAGGTGGAAATCAGGAGATTGTTCTGGATCCGTTAAATCCCAGCGACCTCTTCAACACCTAAGGAAGGTGTCAGGTGGGAGGTTGGAAGTGGGAGTCTGGAGCCCAGAGGGTGTGTTGGGGCTGGTCCAGGTCCCCCTGGGGAGGCCGTGGGACAGAGGGCAGGGCCGCACACTGAGCCTGGGCCTCCCGAGGAGCAGCGGTGAGTTGGGGGTGGGGAACAAGAGCCTGTGGAGACCCAGGGGCAGAGAAGAGAGTGGATGGGAGCATTCCGATCCGGCTAAGATGGGCACCGGGTGTGGGGGGGAACACCCTTGGCTTTGTGCCAGATAGCAGCAGTCTGAGCGAGCGCAGGGGAGAAAGTGGAAGTGCTTTCAGATAGAACGGGAAAGAAGAGACAGGGCAGAGCTTCGCTGAGAAGGGAGCAAAGAATCGAGGTGGGGCAGGAGGCCCAGAGCCAGCGATGGCAGGTGGGAGGTGTCGTCACAGCACGGAGACTCTGAGAGCAGAGTGGGGGGGGGTCCTGGGAGCCTGTCGCAAATTCGTGGAAGCAGGAGGGAGAGTGGGACGGTGGCATATTTGGCCATGGGAAGGCCTGAACATCTCTCTGGATTCCATCTACGTTCTCAGCCAGATTGGACGCAAGGCCGTCAGCCAAGGGTCGGGGGATTGGGAGGGACACCTGCCCTGTGTCCCCTGCCCCAGGGCTGGCCTGCCAGGGTGGGGCTGGGCTGTGGGAGGAAAGAGGTGGGGAGATGAGGGACGCAAGGAGGAAGCGGGAAAAGCAGATCCAGCCTGCTGGGCGGGACGTGAGGCGGGAGGGGAGCTGGGCATTGAGGGTCCCGGCACCCTGCACCCGCCCAGCTCAGCCTCCGACCAGTCATCATCTCCTACCGTGGGGGCTGCACTGGCCTCCTAGGGCACCCCAGCCTCCAAGGGGTCTGTGCTGGGGGACCTTGGGAGCCCCCTGATGCCCGTGGGGTGGAGTCCAGACTCCCCTCCGGCCTCACATGCCGTCCACCCCCAAACCATGGACCACAGGTAGATCACTGGCCTCGGCCTGCGGGCATGGCCACAGAGTCACATGATGATTGCTGTGCAAACTGTCCAGAGCCTGGCTGTCACCTTAGCAAGGACGGTCGAGGCGGGACTGTCGGCAATAGTTGTGGCGAGGGCCCCCTTCTGGGCTGCAGACGGCCGCCCGCCTTCTTGTATTTGCACAGGCAGGGTTGGGGGCGAGCTCCTGGGGTCTTCTTGGAAGGGCACTAATCCCATCTCGAGGGCCCCAGCCCCATGACCTCACCTAACCCTCGTCACCTCCCAAAGGCCCCACCTGCTAGCACCATCCCACTGGGGGTTAGGGCGTCCTCGTTTGAATTCTGGGGGACACAATTCAGTCCACAGCAAACACCCAAAAGCCACTTGGAGGGACCGTGCTGGGGAAGAGGCAGCGCCCCTCCCCCATCTGGTCTCAGGTCCTTCCGACACTCATAGCTCTTCCCTAAGGGCCGGCATGTTCCCTGGCAAGGTGCTCAGAGAGTTGGAGGGGAGGGGGTCCCTGGACTCCCACACTTCGGGTGGGTGTGCTGTGCTGGCCCCACTCTCACGGCCCCCTTGGCCACTGGGTGGCCAGTCACCTGCTCTGGTCCCAGGGGGTCCCGTGGGATCCCCTCTGCTCATGAGGTCTCATCAAGGGCGGGAAGGGACCACAGCAAGGTCGTCCCACTCCGTCCCTGCTCTCTGGCAACGTGACCTGCCTCCCCACCACCCAGGGAAGGAAGGCTGGCGCCCCACCCAGCTGGAGGGACATGTTCAGCATGTTGCAGTGACACCTCACCCAAACCTGCTCCGTGACATTGAGCCACCCATGGACTGAGCTCAGCCCAGCACGAAAACTCTGCACCGTGAATGAAAACGCCAGTTTCTCAAATCCAGCCTCCCCCTCACGGCAGGGCGCGTGATCAGTGTCAGACAAAGTTCTCGGGAAAATCGCACGTCCACCCTAAAACGCAGCCCAAGGTCAGAAATGTCAACACGAGAGCAGCGGGGAGGGGAGAGATGGCGAATTTTGTCTCAGAATCCAGGACCTGAGGGGTGGTAGGGACTGAGCCGTGCCCTGGGACCTCACCCTCCTGACCTTGTTAAGAGGCGCTGGCACTTCCTCGGGGCCAAGGCGGGATGCCTGCTATGAGGAGGCGAGCCCACGTCGGGGAAAGATCCCATCTCAGGGCTAAGGAAATAGGAGACTATCCTTCCTGTTTCACAGAGGGGGAAACCGAGGCTGACCCGGGTGGGTGGTTAAGGGCACATGGCATGTATGTGACCAAGAGGGTCTCAAACCCACATGCCCCCAGCACCGGGAGGGCTGGTTCTGACGCTTGTGTCAGGGACAAAGGCAGAAGAGCAGCTCTGAGCCTCCTCCCTCTCGGCATTCAGTCGGCGCCCAGTCATGCCAGCGGGTGCCCTGGTGGGCGGGTGTGAGCCCTGGAGGCAGGGCGTGCTGGTCCCTTCCCTGGGTGGAGCAGGTTCTGCACGGGGACAGTGAGGACAGGGCCAGGCAGACTTCCACTGCACCAGCCCTGGGACGCGCCCGCCCTGCACGCCTGCCCTCCGGGAGAGGGAGCTTGGCATTTGGGGCTCACCTGCTCACGCCCAGCGCCCCTCACCTGGAAAAGCTAAGGGGTGGAGTCAGCACCCCTGCACACTGGCTGCGTGCCAGGGAGCAGCCGGTGGGCTCGATCTCCTGTCCTCACAGGGACTCGGGAAGGGCACGGCACGTCCGGGGACAGGTTCTCTGTCACACCCCTGGTAAAAAGCAGGGTGGGCCCAGGACACAGCCAGCCTCAGGCCCCAGGTTGGCTCTTAGCTTCCCTGATGCTCAGACTGTGCCCTGCCACAGCCTGGGGGGGGACACAGCTCAAGGGGAAAGCCCCCTCCAGGTGAGTGGCAGGTGAGGGTGGCAGGAAGTCCTGGGGCTGGGGCCTTGTCCTTTCCCCAGCTTTGACGGCTGCCACAGGGTGGGTGGCCAGACAGGGGCCACCGGGGCTGCCGTGAGACCTGAGGACATCCTGGGGCGGCGGGGAAGGACTGACTTCTGAGCCTGGCTCTGCTTTGGGGCAGGAACTGGCCAGGCTCGTCCCCGGGACAGGAGACCCTGACCGGCAGGGACTCGGCTCCACCTGGAAGGCAGGTGGGCTCCCCGGGCTCCCAGCCAAGTGGAACCAACACCTGGGTGCTGGGTGGCCCCAAGGGAGCAGACACCATGCCCAAGTGACCCCCCGGGAGAGTGTGCGGCAGTCTCCCTGTCGCAGCCGGGGCTGGTGGCCTCCCTTGCGTGTTTTATGAGTGTGGCCATCACGGCCGCGCAGGGTTGGGGGTCAGAAGGACTCACAAAGTCCATCTGGTGATGGGGTTTGGGCGGCAGAAGGCACGTGCGTGGGCGTTTTATGCAGGAGGAACTGTTACTCGGGGCAGCTGAGAGAGACAGATCTCGGGAAAATTAAATGTAGGGCTTAACTGAGAAATAATCATTTTCTATGGGAGATAATGGCTTCTCCTGAGGCTGGTGTCAAGATTTATTGGCCGGGGCGCAGACTCGGATGGGAGCCAAGGCGAGTGCAGCGGGAGACCTCGAAGGGGAGGCGGCCGGGACTGGAGTCTCCTCGCCCGGGATCGATACGTCCGTCCGCGCGCCAGAGCCCTGTGCTCTGTGCACGTGACGCCGGAGGACATTAGGTGTCCCACGGCCCTGCTGGCCACGCTTGTCCAGCCAGAGTCACCAATGGCCCCGGCCCCCTCTGGCCAACCTCGGCACCCAAGGCCTGGGTGTCCCTCGGTGCCCCACGACCAGGGCACCGTGCCACGGGCCAACGATGACCCCAGGGACACCGCACCCCTGCTCGGCACCTGGGGAAGGCCTCCCGGTCCCAGCTGCACCTGCGGCCCCCGCACCATCCCTGCCAGCCGTCAGCACCAAGCCGCAGCGACAGGGCAGGCTGTGGGGTTCTGAGGCGGATCGAGGGGTTACCACGCAGGGGAGATTTATTGCCACGATGAACACGTGTGCATAAAATACATAATTCCTCTCGCACGGCCTCATAAATCCAAAAGGGTCAGCAATAAAGGGGGAAATATAAAAAATTACGGACTAATTTGTTCAGAAAACTAGAAGGAAATCAATACGAACGCTGTAGCTCAAAACCTGTTCTGAAGTCGTTGGCGCCGGGAGCAGGCACACGGGCCCCCGTGCGCGCCCCAGGGTGGCTGGGGAGTGTGGGGCGCAGCGTCCGAGGGAAGGAAGGCCGCAGCCCCATTCACCCCTGACCCCTGTGGTGCGTTCGCTGTGAGCAGAGGTGGCCAAGGTCGGCCTCGGGAGCTGCCCTGGGGTGGAGAGGGCAGGCGGGGCGGGACGGGCCGCCTGGAGAGGGGCTCCCGCCTCACGGTGCGCTCAAGGGGCCTGGGGTAGGGGGCACCGGTGGCTCTGTGTGTCCTGTGACCTGGCACCTCGGGGCCTGGCCAGGCCTTGCAGATGCGGCTTGGGAGACGACTCCTATGCAAGTGGTGCCGGTAGACGTTGGGGCCTCCCAGGGGCAGGAGTAAAACAGACACAACCCCCAACTCTCCCCCTCCCCCACCAGCCGTAGGTCTCTGCAGCTCCCAGAGCTGGAGCCCCCAAGCAGCCAGGTTCCCGAGGAGGCACAGAGGCCTGGACCTGGAGTCCAGAGACCTTGTGGTGAGTTCTTGGCTCAGCCTCCAACTTGCTGTGTGACCTCAGGCGGGTCACCGGCCCTCTCTGGGCCTTGGTGTCCTCTGCAAAACAGGGAAGGGAGGGTTGGATGACACAAGGTGGTGTGGGACCAGCACCGGGGCACGGATGTTCCTCAGCCACATGCCGTGCGCCGTGTGTGGACTCCCCATGCGAGCAGGGGCCTTCCGATCTGAGAAGGGAATTGGGACGGGATGGCTGGCTGGCTGGCTGGCTGATAATTGACAGGTGCACAGGTGGAAGGTGCATGGGCGCAAAGATGGAGGGATAGTAAGTGAATGACGGCTGGACCACAGGTGACAGACACATGCACACGTCCACACGCCGCCGTCGGGCGTGGAAAGTCAGCGCCGAGAGGTCCGGTCACGGTGTGAGTGAGCCTCCTCGCATGAGATCCGACCACGGTGAAGCTAGAGACCAGGTCTGTAAACGATGGACTTCCGGGCTCATTTAAAAGCCACTTCCCCTGTGCCCCGCAGCTATGACTCTGCACAAAACCACTGAGCATACAGAGGTGACAGGCCTCTCGTCGGTTCACTGGTGCGTTAACAGGGGCATTAGTTAAGAGACGGTCACGGTGGTTTCCACCTAGCGAGATACTGCAGCACAAGCCCCAGCGTGCTCCCTCGCTGGACGGTGGAAAGCCCCCCCTTCGAGAAGCAACACTCGCCGCCCAGCACCTGGTCACCCTGGGGAGGCCCGTGCCGCACGGCCCAGAGACCAGGCGCCTGGGGACCGGGAGGACGGACAGGCTCCGCTGTGGACGCCGAGGCGCTCCAGGGCCCCGTGGCTTTGGCCGGGTCCTGGCTTCCCTCGGCTGCAGAGCTGCTCTGGGAGAGGCTGGGCAGTGGGGACCCCCCCCCACCCCGGCAGCCTGTCCCTCCCGGGAACCTGTCGGGCCCACCCGAGGCTTACGGCGGCAGGAGGTCGCAGCTGTGATGGCCCCGAAGGCCCTCGAGCCTGCACCCCGGCTGTTCTCCCAAGGACATTGCGCCGGGCCTCCAGCCACCCCGCACGCCCCCCTACTCCCTACAGACCGCCATCCCTGTCACCCTGGTGGGCCCCGTCCCCAGCCGGAGGAGGCCCGAGGGTCTGCAGGGCGGTTTCATTTTACAGTGAGACTTCTGGAGACTTCTGTCCCCACAGGAAATCCTCTTCCTGCCTGCATCCATGACGACTCCGGAGCTTCCCGCCTGGATGTGTGTTCCGGGGGAAGCAGGTGCTCTCGGGCAGGGGGAGCTCGCCCCTGTTTGGCGGGCGGGACCCGCCCTCCACGCAGAAGCCGCAGTGCTGCCAGCAACAACTGCCGAATAACCAGCTGCTCCAGGGGGCTGCACACCAGGAGGCCTGCCCGGCCCGGGAATGGGCTCTCGTTTCTTCCAGAGGCGACGGCAGCACCGGTCTCGCTGCCTGGCTCTGTGTTCCTGAGAAAAGGGGCCCCTGGGGTCCCAGCGAGCCCTCGGAGGCGGGGCAAAGTCCATGGCACCGGCAGAGACCAGCTGCACCCTGCCTTCCAGGCACGGGGGGGGGGGGCCCAGCACACAGGGGAGGAGGCCTTGGGCCACCTACCCCAGAGGGGTAGACCCGGGCCAGGGTGGCTGTGGGGGAAGGGACCTCCGCCAGGCTGGGGTTGGCACTTCCTCCAGCCCGTTCACTCAGGCACACGATGCACCCACGCCAGTCACCCATGCAGGTCATTGCTGGAACAGTGAAGGCATCAGGGGCCCTCGCCTTTTGAAGTCACAGCCGGCGAATGTCCCCACCGATGACTTCCTGAGCAAAGCCCTTGGGCGCCCAGGCAGCGAGAGTGCAGCCCAGCGCCCGCTGCTCCTCGCGGGGGCCTTTGCCAGCCCCTGTCCTGGCGCAGGTGCTGCCCCATCCCGGCACCGGTTCTCGCTTGACCTGCTGGCCTTGGCGCCTCTCCTGACCTGGGGCCTCTGGACAGCACCCACACAGCCCGAGGTGTCTGTGTCACTCTGGCCCAAGCCACTCCGAGGCCTGACAGAAGCAGCAGGGCCTCTGTCCAGAAGACAGAGCCGGTGAGCAGTGGGTGGGGGCACTGCCCGCCTGTGCCGTCCTGCAAGCCCGTCCATCCTGGGCAAAGTCCAGGCTTCCTGGAGGCTCCAGCTCCCGGGAGGCTGTTGCTTGGAGGCACACGCAGTTCACAGGGCTGTCTCAGAAAGCACCCTAGGGGCTGCCCCTCGGGGCCAGCACCAGCGCTGAGAGAGCTGCTAAGGAGTCGCGCAGGACCCTCCTGGTGAGCCGGGTGGAGACCAGGTCCACCACCCCCTCCGTCGCCATGCCTGGGGAGGCCTCGGCCCCGGGCTGGGCCTCCGCCTCGCAGATCAGGGCTCCCTCACCCCCCTCCCCAGCCTGCCCACTGGCCCCCACGGGCACGCGGCCTGGGAGCGGAGCTGCTGGGGCCACAGGCCGGGGGTCTGGGGGTGCGGCTGCTCTGCTCTCAGCCAGCATTGCTCTGGGGTCCTGGCCGCCGAGGGGGGTCTCGGCCAAGCAGGTGTGGCCGCCCAGGGACACAGCTGAAGCTGAAACGGCGTCCAGGTCCAGGGGCTCATCCGGGCACACTAAGAGCTGCACCGACCCTCCCGGGCACCCTGCACTCTCCACCCCCTCCCAGGACGCCCCCCGACGGCCCGTGCCCACCCAGGACCCTGTGTCCAAAGGAGGTTCCAGGTGCCCCCGCCAAATGCCAAAGAGCATGTCTGTGTCACCAGCCGTCAACAGCCTTGACAGACCCTCCCCCCTTGACAGACCCTCCCCAGCCACACAGGCCTCTCGGGACAGCGGTGCCGATGGCCCTGGGAGCCCCCCAGGGACGCTGCCTGGCTCCTCTTGCAAGCGCCCCGGCCAGCCGACCGGTGTGGACCACTGGCTGCCTGCAGCCTCCCTTCCCACCAGAGCTCCTGATTCACCCAACTCATCCTCAAGGCTCCCGCCCTGCCCAGCCGCCCCCGGGCGGAGCACCGACTCCTGGGGTCGTGGGGACAGTGTCTCCGGCAGGCCGTCCCCAGACAAGGAGGACAAGTCCTCAGTGGTGACGGAGGTGTCCTCCCCCTGAGCGCCCAGCGGGGCCCCGGGGAACGCGGCTTCCTGGGGTGGGGAAGGGAAGTCCTCCGAGCCCGGGCGGCCGTCTTCCGAGTCGCTCTCTGCTTGGGGGGTGGGCGGGAGTGGGGGGAGAGGGACGTCCGCGTGGGCGGAGGACGGGAGGTCGAAGCTGCCGTAGGACAGGACCTCGTCGACTGGAGACAGGATCTCGGTCAAGACGCCGCCAGCAAGTGGGGCATGAGCTTCCCCCAGGATAGGGGAGACACCGTGCCCACCAGGCCCAGGTCCCTGGCCCGTGGCTACCAGGGGTGCCAGCCCAGCGGGGTCCCCAGGAGGCGCCTGCAGGGTCACAGGGACCTCATGCTCGGGCAGGGGCTGCAGGGGTTTCCTCTGGGTGGATGAGCTCGGGGCAGCGGGCCAGGGCCTGCCCCGGCAGCCAGCTGCGGCCTGCGGAAGCTGCACCTGTCCTTCTTTGCCGGGATCCACCCCTGCAGATGCAGAGGTCCCCAAAGGAAAGGAAAGTGACAAGTCCAAGTCACCGAGGGGGGAGGTTTCGGATGGGAACACCATGCAGGCTGCCTCAGGGGACTCCCGCTTGGCTTTTCCTGCATTTGATCCACTGGTCAGGCTGTCGCTGGTTCCAGAAGCTTCCTGCCCCTCCCCAGGGCCCAGGGCGGGGAGAGCCACGTGGGCCTCCCCAGAATCCTCAAGGCCAGATGAGCCGCCTGCCAGTGAGGAGCTCCTGGCGCCGGGTTCCGGCAGGTTCTCCTCACTGTCCTCGTCCCAGACTTTGCTAGAGGCTTCTGACAGCTCGGACCCCGAGCCTGGGGCAGGCACCTCCGGGCGAGGCAACAGACTGCCCGCCTGTGGGAGGCTCCGTTCCAGATCCAGGCACCCTGACACAGCCACGTCCATGGAGGAGCCGTACAGGGGCCGGGTCCCCTGTCCCCCACCCCCAGGAGCACCTTGCTGCCGAGGCTCGCCCCACAGGAGCCCCCAGGACAAAGGTGGGCCAGGTTCCTCCCAGGAGCTTTGTGCAGAGAGCAGCATCAGCCTTGGCAGCCTTGAAGTCGCGGTGTGCGCACAGGGTGGGGGCCGGGCACTCTGCGGGCGGGCGGGGGCGAGCCGCGCCTGA